ATAAGGTCGGAGTTCGTCTCTTTGATGGCATATCGGGAGCACTGAGTACAGTCAGATGTGAAAATGGCCCTGCAAACCCCCCTAAACCCTGAACCCTGAACCCTCAACCCTCAACCCTAAACCCCTAAACCCCTAAACCCTGAACCCTCAACTCTAAACCCCTAAACCCCTAAACCCCTAAACGCTGCACCCTGAACCCTAAAGTCTCCAAAGCTCTCCGAGCTGCGAGGGCTCGAGCTGCGCATCAAGAACACCTTCATCGAGTTCTGCGTCCCCAAAGAGCATGAGCACTTGGCCCGGGACCTGAGATTCCGAATTCGGGATTTCACGTCGCCTCTCGGCCTCGGCAAAGCCTTGCAGGGTCGCGCAGCAACCCGCAAGCTGATTTGTGCATGAATCCAACATCGTACACGCTAGACCCGGAGACTCTGGAGCCCTAGAAACCTAAAGCCCTGGAAAGGGATCCCCTCATCTAAGTACCCTTAAGGGGGGACCCCATAGAGCCGCCCTTAGAGGTCTTCACCCTCAAATCCTATCGACATCTCCCCCAGAGTTCAGGGTTTAAGGGACAGCCATCTCAAGTTCAGTCGGCAACAGCAGAGGACGGAAAGGCTTGATGTATGCTTCGGCGATGAGTGCTATGGCTCCATTTGGGTACAGTGAGACCCTGCTAAGCAGCCACACAATATCTTGAACCTTGCTTGCAGCAACAAAACCCTTAGACCCTAAACCCTAAACCCTAAACCCTAAACCCAGACTTCGGTCCGCAAGAACAAAACCCTTAGACCCTAAAAAGGTGAGAACGCGGACTGCTCCGAGCATGGTCTCGCAAATGGGCTCGGAGCTTGGGGCGATGACTTCGGGGGGAGGGTCCGCGAAATGCCAGAAAGGGTACTGTAGGGGCCTAAATACTTGTCTATGCTGTTTTGGGAGCTCCTTGTTATGAGCATTATCGGTCATTATCGTATAATATAGCGGCCTTAATGATTGGAATAGGGTTGGGGGGGTATAGTATACTAGATTTGTAATATTGAGCCCCAAAACCCTATTCTAGCTATTAAGCCCCCGACATTGGGGAATATTGGGGTTGTGGTTCGGACGGGGGACTGTTCTGCCCCTTCAAGACCCGAGCATCAAATCCTGTGGAGTCATAAACCCTTAATGCCGGTAGAGTATGTAGACGGGCGTGACTTGCGATCTCTAGCTACGCTAGTTCCATGCCAAAACATCATGTTGCAGAGGGTTTTAATTTACCTGTCAAGCTGAAGCTCTAGTTTGAGGTGACACATCAGCTCCCTCGCCCACTGACGGTTACATGGAGGCGCTGGAAGGGCGGGACTTCGGATGATGCTAACTATTACTATCTCGATAAATCAATAATACTGGCAACAACAACAACAGTAATAATAACTTAATCAGTTGGGTCAGATCCCGATAGTGCTACTTCAGAGACTGCATTCTTTGCAATGTATCTGCTGCCAGCGTTAGGAGCGAACATCCGTCGAACATGTGATGCCTTTGAGCCCAAGTGCTCAGCCCACAGAGCTAGGAAATAGTCCAGAGACTCAAAAGGGTGGTTGTGAAAATTATGGTCCCTTTGGGGGTACCCTAAGTAATAGGTGCCGTATTATAATAAGGACCCCCAAAAGGGACCATAATTTTGACAACCACCCATATCTCGAGAATAAGGAATCCGGAACTGCGAGAAGCTTCTCGAATCGAAGAGGGATCTTAGGGAGCCCTAAACCCTAAATCGTGATGTTCGGTTCAACCGTAGCGGCATTCCAACTGTAACAGGGAGGAAAACTTTAAACCCTAAACTACTAAACCCCTAAAGCTAAGCCCTAACAAACACAAAGCCGTGGTGTTCCAGCTCGCAAGTTCCTAGGAAGGTGGAGCCACCTCTTCCTCGCAGAGGCGAGCGCGATGTCTAGGGTTTGCTTGGCCTGGAGATCATAAGGGTGCACGGTCCACAGTCTGCTTGTTGGACGTGTTTGGCTTCGAGGGCAAGAAGAGAGGTTATGCAGTTTGAGGCATGTCGATGTAAGCTTGGAGGTTTGTCCTGGTGCCAGACTTTGTGCATGCCTTGCCAAAGCTCCTCCTGGTCAAGTTCTTTGAACGCATGCTTCTTTTTCGCAAGCAGCAACAGAAAGCAGCCGAAGATCTGAACCTCAATTAATATTGGGGCCTAAAGAATTACCAATACTATTTTGGGGGCTCCGTATTAGAGCTATAATGAAAAGTAGCAACGCAGGACCTCGCCGCTCCTCACCATGGTCCCAGCCCCATCACCACCCGCTCCCTGGGCGCTCAAGCGTGACTCGCGCGGGGACTCGGCTTTCCGATCAAGGTTTAGGGTGTAGGGTTTAGGGTTTAGGGTTTAGGGTGTAGGGTTTAGGGTTTAGGGTTTAGGGTGTAGGGTTTAGGGGCTTGGATCTGTGCAGGCCCTTCTTGAAACTCCGCTCAGATACCCCGCTGCTCTGTTCCTGAAACCCGAAGCTGAAGTGGCCGCCCCGGAGACATTGCTCCCTGCAGTGCTTGTACCCACAAGGTCGAGCATCCTTCGATCCATTCTGGAAGACAAGCCGCAGCCCTGACGGTGGTTAAGGGCATCCCGGATTTCAGGAGGGGCTTACAAAGGGTTTCGGGCAAGTTGTTTTGGTTTAGGTGCTTTCTTCAAACACTGGTGCTTTGGAGAGACTTCGGCTTTTAAGAAACTGCAGAACCTGAGCGGTGTTGATGCTGACGAAAGCACTGTTCGTAGCACGTGGTACTTGCATGGGAAGCATGGGAACATGGCTTGCCTACGGATATCTTCGTGATCATGATCATCATCACCATCATCATCATCCTCATCATCATCATAATCATCCTCATCATCATCCTCATCGTCATCATCATCATCATCATCATTCTCCCAGTTGGCAGTCATGCTTCGTGTCGATGATGACGGTCATGATCATGCTGATGATGACGACGACGATGAACATGCTTTGGCAGCAAGAAGGATCACAACAATAGAATATAACGGAGTAGACTATGATGCAATAAAGCCCGAAACCCTAAACCCTACGCACAAAAATCATAAAACCCCAAAAACCTATTCTAATTATTAAGGCCCCTAATATAGAACCCTATTATATATCTCCTATAGTACCCTTTAAGCCGAGAGTCCTCCGAGGATGGAGGCCGAGTCCGAGCGCGATGCAGCAGAGAGCCGAGGCCGCGGAAGTCTGGGTCGGCTGCGTGAGAGAAGACGCAGTTCTTTTGGGAGAGCCAGAGAAAGAGAGAGAGAGAGAGAGAGAGACCGAGAGAGAGAGAGAGAGAGCTGCATCATAGCCCTGGCGAAAGAAAAGAGAGAGAAAGAGAGAGAGAGAGAGAGGAATTCGGGTAGATTTATAATTTATACTTAAGCCATAAACCCTAAAGGCTTGAATGGTTTGCGCGTGGAGGTCAGCTTGAGCTTGGGTCCGGGGATGCCTCGGGAGTCTCAGACTGAAGTGGATCGGGTACTATAGGGGCGTTAAACATTGCCAACACTGTTTTGGTGGTTCCCGATTAAAAAATATAGTATAATATACCCTAAACCTTATTCTAACTATTCAAATTCAGGCCCCTATATCAGGACATCGTTACTATTCGGCACTTAGCCTTCTTTGCTGCTGGGTTGTCTCTTTCTGTGCATCTACGAATGTGTTTGCCTCAGTCACTCAATCAGTCCCTCTCCACAACTGTATAAGGTGTGCAAACATGCAGACTGTATGTTTGCTGCTTGCATATGCATGTACACTTACATCAGTGCATGCAAGTGCACATACTTGCTTTGACGACTCCAACACGCCCACACGTAGACAACCATTCGCAAGTCATGATCGGTAATCAGATAACGTACGCACATACACAGGACATGCACACCCCGACGTGCAGACGCAGAGATCTGATTGTTTTGGCCTGGATGGTTTGCGATCTTCCCTGCAGTGTGATGACATGCTGTTTACAAATGAAAAGGACGTTGATATGCTTGTGTCGAACCGGGTACGTTTTGGGTCCAGGTCGCAGTGCCTCTCAGCAAGCCAAGGCACGGGACCTGTAGCATTATGATACTATAGGGTTTAGGGCTTGGGGTTCGGGGTCTAGTTCTGCTATGTTCTATAAGTGTTATTATCATCATTATTCTTGTTGTTTTTTACCCGTATTATCCCTAAGTCCTAAACCCTAAACAGGCCCTAAACCCTATCATTGCTACTGTTATTGTTACTATCATTGCTGCTATTATATGGTTGCTAGCGAGTTTGACCCTTGTCGGATTCGGGTATTCAGGGGTTCGGGCTTGGAGCTAAAAGGTTTTAGGGTGTAGGGTCTAGGATTTAGGGTCGTAGGGTTGGGGTCTAGGGTGTTGGGTTTATGGTTGAGGGTTTAGGGTGTGGGTTTTGGGGGATTGAGGTGCAGGGTTGTAGCAAGGCAGGGCATCTCAGGGCCAATTTGGGGCTGGGCCGTGCGATTGTCGGTATGGGAGTTTCAGGGTACTATATTAGGGTCCCCTACTTTCGGAAACCCCAGTATTGCAGACAGCGACAGACCTGGATGTCGATCTGGCCTTGACTTCGTTGTTCTTGTTGTTCTTATGTCGTCATCCCCCTAACAACAAGAGCCCAAGATATCCTGCCCATGGCTTCGAAGCCTGTTAGCCACGGTAGTCGATGCTGCCAAGAAGGCCGCTGCTCCCGAATCTGAACCGAGCCATCCTGCTACAGGGAATCGCGAACTACAAGAAGAGCAAAGTCAGTCGACCGGTGCTTGTTCAACTTGGAACTGTTGGGCATTTTGGCAATGGCTGTAGTGCTAAGATGTGTAAGAATGATAGCACAGGCGATGCCGGAAGATCATTCACACAGGCCAGGATGCGCAAGCATTGTAACACAAGTGGTATTTGGAGTGGCTCGGGGTGCAAGTAGCCCCGGTTTGTATTTCGGGGTCTGTTTCCACCCAGCCTGGCTACCATGGCGGGCTGTGCCTCGTGGAGTACTCCGACACCCCTGGAGATCTATGCCAGATCCCTGCCACATGATGCGGACGCCGCTTGGCATCACTCTATGGCCCCAGGCCCCTTCTTCTTCTTCTTAAATTTAATATAGTGCTGATATATATATATATATATCACTCTCTCATGTCAGTTCAACAGTCGCATGACAGAAGTTCTCAAGTTTACTGTGCTCAGCGGGCGGTTCGCGGGCTCAGGCAGCCGCGATGCTCTTCCCCATGTACACCGTCTCCGTGGACGTGCTACTCGAGATGACGAAGGTTGAGCCACACGAGGAGCTAAAGGCCGAAGTCTGCAGTACTTGGAGGATCATGGGACATAGTAACTCGGGTATCCGTATGTGGAGCCAAGTCTTGCGATGCGTGACAAATCGCTGCCTGTGTTTACTGTGTCCCGAACAGAGTATTGACATGATTCAGTCGTTGTTGGGGCTTGTGGCTGCTTGGGCTGTTCTGGGCTTAACCACCGGGTGGCCCTGCAGTACTCTGTTGCCCTTCTGCCTTCTAGGTTCCATAAAGCCAAAAAGTAGGAACAAGGATACCCTTCTTATCACGGGGCTACTGGGGAACCTAGAAAGGAATGGGGTTCCCGGGGTTTCCTGTTGTTTGGAGGCACGGGGCGAGCTCACGGTCTTCAGCGACGACCTGGGGAGAGCGGCTTTCGTTTCGCATCAGTGGCTTGCCGCTGACCACCCGGATCACGACTTCAAGCAGATGCGGGGTCTGCAGGATGCGGTGAAGCGGCTGCGTTGCGGCCGCGGCTCTGTTTCGCTGGACCAAGTTACTGAAAGCTACGTGCGTACTGCGAAGCCCATCCCCATGCATGAGTTTCAGGTCCAGGCCTTGTTCCTTTGGTACGATTATTTCTCATGTCCACAGCTGGAGCAAAGGGTGTCTTTCGGCGCGGAAACAGATGGCAGCCAGCAAGCCAGTGCTATCAACAGCATCCCAGCTTATGTAGCCAAGTGCCGCTTCTTCCTGGCCCTATGCCCAGTGCTCGATTGCCCCTTTGAGGGCAAGGTGTTGACGGCGGCCACTTGGAGTCGAAGGGGGTGGTGCCGCCTAGAGCGCGCTGCGCGTGAGCTGTCACGAAACAGCAGCTGGATTCTGATTCGGAGTGATACTTCTATGGAAGTTGTTGGCACGGTGCTGTCGTTTCCGAGTGCAGCGGTTGGTGAAGGCGACTTCACAGTTGCGGATGATCGGCAGAAGCTAGCCCCGGTGATGCGGCAGATCCTGGTACAAAAGCTGAGTCGCTGCCTAAGAGCAGGCGACCTGCCCGGGTTCCGGCGGCACTTCAACCTCCAGGCCGTCCATCTACGAGGCTTAGAAATTGATCCGGTGGGTGGCCTGCTTCAGAGATCTCATGGCGACTCGGCAGAGTTCCTGCACCAGAATGGCTTGAGGAGGGTCGACGACGCCGATGCTGCGGGCTGGCGTCCGCTGCACTATGCCGCGCTTGCCGGGAATACGACGGTGCTAAAGGGGCTACTGGAACTCCGCGCCGATCTGAACCGGCGCACATCGAAGGATGAGCCCGTGCTGGGCTTCCCGGCCTGGACGTCGGTGCTCGAAATAGCCACCTTCTACAAGCACCACGAGGCCACGCGCTGGCTTCTTGCTGCGAGGGCCCGGTTGGGGGGCGGACGAACTGGGAGTCCTATCGCCTTTGCGGCAATCTCCGACAATGAAGAGGGCATTCGCTTACTCTGCATGGCAGGCCTCAAGCCGCTGGCTCATAACTTGTTTGGCCACACCAACTTGGAAGCTGCAGCCTCCTACGCTGCCTTTGCAGCTTTAGAGGAGCTGGTGCTGCAGGGACGCCCGAACCCCTTGGAGCTTTCAAGAGCACTCTGGGGTGCGGCAACTTTTCGGGGTGGCTCGGCGGAACTGGTGCTCCACCTCATTGAGCTCCGTGCCGACATAAACTTTCAGTTCAAGTTGTCGCGGGATTACAGGCCGCTGGGCCGGCTGTTCGTGGGCGTGAAGTCCTTGCAGCACCGGCTCGGCTCAGCCTCTATCATGACGGCCTTTGCTTATCACCTCCACGGCAGCACTCCGCTGATGCAGGCCGTCAAGTCGGCTCAGTTTGAGGCTGCAGCAGCCCTCATCGCAGGTGGTGCCAGACTTGACCTCCGGAATTGCCGGAACTGGGCAGCGGCCGACTTTGCCAGGGGTCAGTCGATCCCGCGCTTTTTGCAGCTAGGTTTTCAGGGGGATGCATCGGAGTGCCGGAGGGTGTCCTCACTGGCCATGGCTGATGGCTATGTGGAGGTTCCCTTTTGAATGCTGCTTCATTTTTCGCTGGCCGCAGCCGCCAAAAAGCCGAAGTCACCCGAGGGAGCCCATAACACTACACCGTCATTTGCGATCAGTCGGCATAGTACATTTTTCAGGCAATCAAACGATGTTACCAGCAGCCATGCTGAAATAAACCTTAAACCCTAAACCCTAAACCCATAAACCCCTAAACCCTAAACCCTAAAATCCGAAAATCTTGAAAGAGACATGTCCCATTTTTTGCAGGGTCGGCAGAGATCCATCGAGAAGGCGGAGGCGGCGGAATGCACTGGTTTCGGCTTGGGGAGTACTTGGGGGATCATGGGACTTAGTAAGTAGGGTCATAAGTAAGGTAACTATACTTATAAGTAGTAATAACCGCAAGTAATGTAGTTCTAACTACCTTATTTGGGGTTTTAATTACTTATAAGTCTAGTTGCCTTATTTATGACCCTAGTTACTAAGTCCCATGATCCTCCAAGTATGGTCGGATACAAGAGAACGATCGCTGAATGCCTTTCGGGTTTCGGCCTTTAGTTTGGGGTTTCGAGGGAGATCTTTCTACCCCCAAACTCTCTCTTGGATGGGATTGACATTGAAGAGGATTTACGGGTTTGAGGTTAGGGATTAGATAATATAGGGGCCTAAATAGTTGCCAACACCATTTTGGGGGTTCCTATAGTCTAACATACCCCAAAACCTTATTCCAATTATTAAGGCCCCAATAAGGGTTTCAGGACCCTCAACCCTAAACCCTAGGAGGCATCGTAGGGGGCCGACCGACGAGCGGCTTCGTCCCAGGGCCAATCACGGAAATCTCTGAGCCGTAGGGTTCAGGGTACTTCCAACCCTAAAGCCTATCCAAGCCCTCAACCTTGAAGCCACAAACCTGCCAAGCAACTATCCTTCTCAGCCTCAGGCCAACACCGCAAGGTCTTGTCATCCCTACCCCAGCCCCCCCTTCTCCAAAAAGCGCCACCTTCCAAATATCCAGACCTGCAATACAGAAGCCTAAAAACTAGCAAGACTCTGTTCCTCAGGGCTCCGTATTATAAGCCCCCAAACCCTCGTTCTAATTATGAAGGCCCCTACCTTAGAGCCCCAAAGTCCAAACCATGACCCCAAGAAGCTGAGCCCGCTGCGAGGCACCGGCTGCCGAGGCGGCGCCAGGCGAGGATGCAGCTCGAGAGCAGCGAACAGGACGAGGGTTTAGGGTTCAGGGTGTCCGGTTTAGGGTTCAGGGGTTTGGGAGTTTGCCCCAAATCGCGCGAATCAAGCAGCCTATAGCGACCTAGACACGAACCGTAACCCTGGAAATCTATCGTGTCCGAGTGTAGATACAGGGAATAAAAGACATACGCGTGCAAACAACGAGCGCACTATGCCGACCATTACTTACCTATCTACTTGCTTGCCTGCCTCTGAATCTGCCTGCGTGCGTGTCCACACATCTATCGATCTAGAAGTTAGGTACGGTGATGCACGAGTAGCTGCAGGCATGTTTCTGCTTGTAGGCCTTTCTCAGAGGAGCGGTGGTGCGATGCGTCAGGCAGTGCTAGGAAAGCGTCTTTGAACAAGTCCCAGCCCTGTGTGCAGGAGAGCCCGGGTTCTTGTTCAGGGATTTAACTTAAGTTACTATAATAAGGAGACCATGTTATTTATTATGGGAATCCGTAGTATAAGTTACTATATGTTACTATAATCAGGAAACCATGTCTTTTATTATGGGAATCCGTAATATGGTAACTTAAATTTAGCTGCCTTAATTAAGAACCCAGAACGCCCGAGCAGGCCCTGCTCTGACTGTGCCCTCCACCCTTCCCAAAACACCAAAACCCAAGATACGTCGAGCCCTACTTGGAGGATCATGGGACTTAGTAAGTAAGGTTATAAGTTATAACTTATAACTACCTTAATTGGGGTTATAATTACTTATAAGTACAATTACCTTATTTATATCCCTAGTTACTAAGTCCCGTGATCCTCTAAGTAAACCCCAGACCCCAAACCCTAAAGCCTATCAACCCTGAACCCCAAACCCTCTTCTTTAACCCAAGCCCGAAACCCTGCACCCACAACTCCCAGCCAGGAGCGCTGTCGATGCCTTCCGACCACATCACGTCTTGGGCCGATGAGAGCTCGGGCCTTTCCTTGCCCTTCAGGCTTAGGGGTGGCTCTGTCGATTTGTTGCAGTTCTTGTAATAAGTTTTTTAGAATTTTAGAAGCTTTTTGGTAGCACTTTATCCGAGTATGGCAATGGTCATCAGACTGAGGGTTCCTTGAAGCGGTTCCTGTAAGAGTTCAGGGCTCGGTGTCTTGGGGGTTCCGGGGTTTAGGACGATTGCCATTGGTCTTCCAAGCTGCCGAGTGGTTTCTCTGCTTGCAGTTGGAAGGCTGACAACCACCAGGATAGAGATGATATGAGATGATGATGAGGCTGGTGATGATATGGTGATGATGAAGATGAGGAGGAGGGATGAGGATGAGGGTCATTATGAGGGCAGCGTAGGAGGACGACCGCCCAGAAAGTCCCAGATCACCCCCTAAACCCTAAACCCTAAACCCGCCCTTGGACGCATCGTACCTCAAGCTTTGTGTCGGGGTGCTTTGAATGCTAGGAGATAATCCTTAAAGCTATCGAAACTTTAAGGGTCCATGAACCCAAATAGAGTTTAGGGTTTGGGGTACCCAGATAGTATGGACTTTGGCCCTTAAAGTAGTCCCTATATAGGTACTTTGGGGCCAAGCTATATACTATTAGGGTTCATGAGTTCCTCAGCTTCTGAGGTGAGAACCTGGAGACCGGAACTGCGGACCCTTGGTCCGCACCGGAATCGGACGGCAGCGACCCGAGTCTCCATGTTGGGGTCGCGATTTCGGTTTGGTACTTGTAGTATGTGCCAGGCTCTGAACTTGAACTTGAAATTTCGGATGCAGGACATGTGGATTTTGCGACTTCAGATACCACCACCACCACCGCCACCACCACTACAACAACAACTTACTACCACAACTGCCACTTGCTACCTTTTACTACCACTTGCTACCAATTGCTGTGACTTACTACTATTTGCTACCAGTTGCTGCCACATACTACCACCTGCTGCCACTTACTACCACTTGCTTCTACCAATTACCACCACCACATCGACGACTACTACGAGTACCAATACAGTTACAATTTCGGTAGAGTATGACTAACAAGCCTAAGCTCTAAGCCCCTTATTCTTCCCGTACAGAAGTGGTGCCCTTCCATCATTCGTCTGTGGTACGTCCCCAAACACCGCGAAAAACCCTGGACCCTAAAGCCCAAATCCTAAAACCCTAAATCCTGAACCCCCAAAACCCCTAAACCCTAAACCCTGAACCCCAAACCCTGAACTTCTAAACCCCCTACACCCTAATCAGCCCCAAGCCCCTAAGCCCTAAGAAGCCCGAAACACCGGGACCCGAAGAACCCAATACCTTTTAATTGAGGTATATACCTTAAATCATAATATTAAGGCCCCTAGAATTTAAGGTATATTCCTTAATTAAGGTGTCTTGGGTTTTCTTGGGAGCTCAATGCCCAACAGGCCGCCGGGAAGTGCGGCTCAGGCTCCCGGCTGCTTTAGGGTTCCAGGTTTAGGGGTTTAGGGGTTTAGGGGTTTAGGGGGTTTGGGGGTTTTAGGGGTTTAGGGGGTTGGGGGTTTAGGGGTTTAGGGGTTTAGGGGTTTAGGGGTTTAGGGGTTTAGGGGGTTAGGGGTTTAGGGGCTTGGGGGTTCAGGGGTTTAGGGGTTTAGGGGTTTAGGGTTCAGGGCTTTGGGGTTCAGGGTTTATGGTCAGTTCAGGTTTAGGGTTGGGCTCAAGACGACAAGTTGTTGGGTATTTTGGCTAAGTAGAACCTATGAATTTTGGGGGGGTAGATATTTGGGCGGGGTATCTAATACTTGGGGGCGTACGATCGTACATTGCCAAACCTCTCCGGGTGTACTGTAGTATAGAAGTGGTTTAATGGGGGCGTAGTGGGATCAACTGGCGTTATGACAGGATTATCGGGCTTGGGGTTTGATATAGTAAAGTTGCATAGGGACTCTAAAGGAGCGTGGCGAGTTTCTTTGGGTACGGATCGGGCGATTTGTAGCAGGGCGTCCGGTTCAATGCAGCCAAGTCCTCGAGCACTTAAACTTAGGCGGAAGCTGCAACCACCAGAAATCCTCGGCCTCATTGATGGCCTTGGACGTAATGTAGGGGCCTAAATAATTACCAATGCTGTTTTGGGGTTTCCTTAGTGTAACTATAGTATAATGGGCCACAAAACCCTATTCCAACTATTAAGGCCCCTAACTTAGCAGTCCTGAGCACGGACCACGCTGGCCAATCCAAAGATGTATCAGGGAAGACCTGTGAGGTGCGTCGCATGACCGTGGATTGCAATCTTGGGAGGTCGTACGTACTATAGGAGCCTAAATAAATACCAATATAATCTTGGGGGTTCCTTATTATAGATATAGTATAAAAAACCCCAAAACCTTTTAATTTTGGGGATTCCTTATTATAACTATAGTATAAAAAACCCCAAAACCTTTATAAAAGGGGTCTGCATGACCTGCACAGGAACCTGCCTCTGCGGCCGGCTGAAGAGTTGAAGGCGGGACATCCGTCGCAAGGAAAGCTGTTGAGTGGGCCATTGGAGGTGGTAGATGGAGGATCATGGGACTTAGTAAGTAAGGTTATAACTACCTTAATTGGGGTTATAATTGCTTATAAGTACAGTTACCTTATTTATAACCCTAGTTACTAAATCCCACGATCCTCTAAGTAGATGGGGTGCTTATGCAGCATAAATGCTATGAGCGGCTGGTCAGCCGTCATTTCGACAGAGACTTCGTTTTTGCCGGCAGATGCAGTCATGCGGTTTCGGGTTTAAGGTTTAGGGTTAGGCTGGTTGTGGTTCAGACGAGGACACGTCTCCCACAAGTCTACTCGTTGCTATTCTAGTTAGTGTTGTTCTGGTATCCAACCTC